GCTCCCTAAAAATGCAACGTTTAAAGCCTTTTCCTTGCAGTAAGTGACCTTCATGGCAGGGTTCTTTGATAGGCATTCTTTCATTAGTATATATATACATATCAATATGTGGCAGAGGAAAGGGAAGCTTTAATCCGAATTAATTCGTCGGTTGACGTGGTCGCTTTAAGGAAGAAGAAAACTACATTTTTGAAGCGCTAGTTTATATCCCTTGGGACGTTAAAACAAACGTTCTCTGGGTGTAGCTCTGCAAAACGCACGCACACCCAATGTTCAGGCACGAAGTGATAAAAAAATGCGAGGCAGACACAGAAAATGATTTCCTAAACTTGGTGAAGTAAGCAAACATGTCGAGCAGGTGGACGGACCCGTGTGTTTATTTTACTGAGTTTCCCGAGTCATTTGTTATGTATTCTCTTTTTTTGTCTCTGCGTTTCTGCTGCCTATCGTACGTTTGCTCTCTGGAAACATACAAATACAACTTATTGTTGTTTTGCCCTGTTTCCCATAGAAGTTGTTTTTATCTGTGGCATATTATATAATTATAAATAAGCACAAATGAGATAACATATAACTGTTTGGCCAGCTTCAGACTAGCACAGTCAGAATATTTTTGTTTTGTTTTGATTACCGGATTCTGAAAGTAGAGGAACAAAAAAAAAGCAGGTCCGGGGGTTCAAATCCCTGTATTGTTCACATTTTTATCCACGGTAACTGTGAAACCCCCATTTATTTAACTGATTACAACAGTATTCTGTACTACTAGCCTATCAATTGTAATTCTTGTGAGATTGTGAAACTGGTTTTGCGAGCATTTTAGTTTATTTTACTTGCACAACCCCTGAAGTGTTACTTTTCACTGAGATCTGCTCCGCTCTTTGAACTCCATGCAAACTGGTCCATCTGCGCAAGCCACATAGTGGTGAAAGAGATACAACTCAGAGTTCAAAACGACAATCAAATACGTCCAAAAAAGCACAGACCTATTCAAAGCACTATTATGTACGCTATAGAAAACTTAAGATATAGAAATAGTACTATTTCTTCACTCCGTACCCCACCCCATTCAGCCGGTTGACTAAGTCTGGAAAGAACCATTCCCAAAAGTCTCCGTGGTCCCCCTCTTCCATTTCAAGGTTTCATTATCAGTCCCTGTGGCACCTGCTCACATCCTCGCTGATTCTGTTAACTCCATTACGACCTGAGCCAAATTTATCCCGAACCTATTGACCCGACAGTTCAACAAAAGAGACAGACAAACGTACTGCAGCGACAAAAGGCTTCTTTTTAAAAAGAGAATCTGCTGAAAGGAACTTAAAGGAAAAATTAAGATACACATTTAAAACGACAGGCTGGACTTAAGTCTCTCCCCCCCCCCCCCA